TATCAAATGCTGTGTATAAATGTGAAAGAGTAGTACAAGAAATAACCCCCCTTGACACCGTACAGCCATCAGCTAGATTTGCTGGCCTAAAGAGGTGAGGAGAGAGTCATTCAATGCTTTTTTCTCTATGCTTCTTTAGGAAACTGATCAATTTCCAGAGTGATAAAGTCTATGTTTTAGAATAGTGATATACCTACAAATAAATTTAGCAATAATTTAGGAGTTTGATATCTCATGCAATTATCTTACCAATTAATGGAAATTTCCTCATGCTATTGAAGTAAAAAAGGAGTCCAGTTTCCCATTTCTAGAAGGTCTGCCAATATAGAACTATAGTTAAAACATTTTTGGTTACTGGAATCACTATTTAACTATTTCAAGAGCATTTTCTTAATGCTTAATTAGAGTTTTTTAATTCTTAATTAGAGTTTTCTTAGTTTTCAATCTCATACACATAGGTACAACTAAAACAACAAAAAGGCAACATAGTCACATGCAATACAGTTTTAAATGCGTTCCAAGACAGTTTTGTCACTACTTCTGTCAGACTGACTAGCATGTGCAGAGGACAGACAATTATGGATTGTCTCTCTATTACCTCTATTACCTAGGCTGAGAAGAACTTGGTGCTTCCGTTTATCGTGTAACTTCCCATAGCTCAGCTCTACCAGCCTTGGGAATAGAGAAGGGAGATCAACTACAGATGAACAACTTTCCTTCATCTACCTAGAAATGTCACTATTTTTTCTGCCAGTTACCTGAGATCTTCAGGAATACTGGATGCTCTCTTGGCAATCTGTCAAACTCTTATTCAAGGGATGTAACAAAAAATCACATTCAATTTTCCTTTCTGACCCTAGTGCATTATTCTGCCTTTGGTCTCCAGGTGAATACACAGTTTTTTCTTCCCTGCTGAAGAATATAATATTGGCAATAAACAATAAACAGAGGTAATCCAGGACGTAAGATTTTTTCAGGTGTTCATATATATAAATAAAAATGATAGTGATTTGAAACTGTTCAGATTTTGATCTTTTTTTTCTGATAGGAGGAGATTTACAGGGCAGAGGGCATAGAGAGAAGTCAGAAAGCATATAAACAATTTTAATTATTACAAGCTCCATAGCTAATTGTCACTCTGTCACCATGGAACTTAAAAGGGAGGTATAAAAGATATGTGGAATTGTGCTAAATGTGCATCTGCAAAACCTGATCGTTCAGAAGAATTCAAATGGGATTCAATTTGATGGAAGACAGAGGACACTGAGATTCAGGGCAAGATCCATTACAAAAGATGCATCTCCTCATGGTGGTGAAGCATACACATTTTGCATCACTATGCTCCTGTTAGTTTCCTGGGAATTCATTATAGGCTCTTACACTAAGCAGTAACTACCGTGCTGTAATGATTTCCAGCAATGTTAGTGGAACTTTCCCACCTCACCTTATTTAATTATTTATTTTAATTTTAACTCACTCTGACAGTCTCTTTAGCTACACAACTCATTTTCATGAGGGCTCCCAGGAGAAGGCTATAACAGAAGTCTACTCTGCAGCTGCATGAGTCTTTATAACAAAAGCCATAAATCAAGACACTGACTCTGAAGCTGCAGACAAGAGCAATGAGCAGGCAGCATCTCAGTATGTTAGCTTCGATTCAAAGGATTTCAGAAAGTTCATTTCTGGTTTTTTTCTCCTCTGTTTTTCTTCTGTTTCTTGCCTAGTCTTTGTTTTACTGTCTCCTCTGTGTTAACTGTGTGAGCTGTTTCCATCTGAACTTTCCCCTGCAGACACACACTGCTGTCTTCAAGGTAGATTTGAGGCTTCTTTTGGTGGGGGTGTCAGGTCTTTATTAAATGCTTATTCTAGACCTTTAGTAGGAGACTGCTGAATAAGGACCTTTGTACTGAGTATTAATTAGGCTTTGGCTTTAAAGATGTTTTCCAGAGGTGTAACACTTCAAAGAATCAACACTTACACCCCCTCCTCTTTTGATTGCTGAATTTTTCTTTTTGGAAATGATTCTTTAGGCTTCATGTACAATTCAGGAAGTCTTGAAGGCATCAACTTCTAAGTATAACAAGAAGTAGATATTGCAATGTTTTTTCCTGCTACTGTTATTGTTATTATTATTGTTATTATTGTTGTTGTTATTGTTGCTGTTGTTGTTGTTATTATTATTAAGTATATTTGTTCAGAATAAAACTTTAATTTTGGGTTCAGATGCTTAAAATTAAATCTCAATTGAATTTAATAAAATAGCGGTTTTACTAAATAAAAATGTATTGCCTCCTTGTTAATGTTAATGCTAAGATCAACAGACATTTTTTAGTCAAAAGATGAAAAAAGCCCTTCATATTTTGCAGTAGGATTTTATATTATTTTTCCAATATATTTGAATAATATCTTTTATATTATAATGCATAAATATATATTATTTACAATATATATTATACACATATACACATATATCTATATCTATATATCTATTAATATAATATTTCCTTAATATTTGTTCTGGCTCATATATGACCGTGGCATAACAGTTTGGAGGCTCCATCTTGATTGTTTTGGTTTTTTTGTTTTATTTTTTTCCTAAGGATGACTTCTGAGAGGGAAGAGAAACAAAGTTCTGTTTAGTAAATCTTGATTTGTTGGTAGCTTCTGTATTCATACACACAATTTATGAGGCAAGAATTTTCCATCTCAACTATTCCCACAGATTTTTGTAAAAGAAATTTTAGTAGTAATAATCTAAAATATATTTTAAATGTTCTATTTTGAGAAATCTCAATGCACTTTACATACCAATTGTAAGTTATTACCGGCTGCTTCTGGTCTTATGAATGGCTCCCAGGCATTTCTCAGGATGGAAACAAAGGGAAGAAAAATAATACTTGAATGGATAAAGCTAAAGAGTTAATATTTTGTGAGACACTTCTTAATTTTAATGTACATCTTAAGTATAATGATGGCTAATCTATTTAAATAGATCATCTGTATATATAGAAATCTATACAAGCAAACTGCATGCCTCAAGGTAAAAAATTATTTCTAACATGAATCAGCAAAGAATGCAGAAAGGCAAGGAAACTAAGAAATATACCCAGAAACAAATGTGAGACCCAGAAAGGCTGGATTTTATCCCTGATCTAATTTAGACATCATACAACATTTAAGTGTAAAAAAAATCCTATTAAATCACATTTGAACTTACGAGAGATAATAATTATTCATGTTGCATAAACCTTTTCAGAGATGGAATGACAGAATTTTAAGGGAATGGTGTCTTGGACTTCATAAGGATTGAGGGGAGACTAAAGTGCTTTGGAAACAAGTAGGAGAATGCTAGATGTCTAAAAACTTATTTCTTCAGTTGAAAATGATGTATAGAGTTTCGAGTTCCTGCACAACCACAAGAGACTGAAATTCTTTCTTCACTTCAGCAATACCCACTATCCTGAACTGAGTACTAGCAATGGAAAATATGTCCTTTCTGTCTATTTCTAATGTACAGTGGTCTTGAAGTATTCTTCCATTGTTCTGATGAGGAATTGTTTTCAGCTAAGAGGTTTGGGATTCCATTATTATTATTATGGACTTGAGAGAAACAGAAGTTAAAAAAAAAATTGCAGCCAAAAGACACCTAATACATTTTCTTCCACTGCAGTATTTTTTCTGTCTGATTTCTAAATTCTTTTTTGGTTCTTCTTTAGGGATTTTGAATTTATTCTGCTGAGTTCCTGTGAAACCAAGAAAGAAAATTAGTTTAATTTTGTTTCTGTTTATGTAGTTTATGTTTGTGTTTATGTAGCTTTATGATACTCAAAGAAGACCAATATAGGAAGAGTCCAATTTTTGTAGTTTCAATTGCATGCTTTCAGACTCCTGATGGACTGACTGATATGGAGATAATCTTTGATATCATCAGATAACTGAACAAATGGTTAGTTTAATGTAACTGTTTCTCTAAGGTTGAAGATAAATTTTACTTTCAAGGTACTTGGCTTTAAGCATACATCAACTTCCACATATATTCACATTTTATTATTGTAATAAAATAGGTTACATTTTCCTTTTTGAGGCTGAGAAAATATTGCCAATATACTGAAAATACTGATATCAAAACAACACGAAATTCCAGTCAGTATGACATAATTTTATGATGTCCTAGATGATATTGGTTTGAATTTATATAGAGCACAAGGTGTGCTTTATATAAAATGTGTAAAAATGCACATTTTGACTGAAGCTTCCTGTCAGTATGCTCTAGCATTACTCAGAATTTTAAAAGCCCATTTTGGTGGCATTCTTTCAAAACCCATTATAGACTAGATATTTTTCATCAAGCTGGATATCTGTGTGGTGTATAGAACATGTGAAATATGAAATGTGAAACTCATGTGAAATGATTTAGCGATCACTATTTAATGACACTGTAGCAGTGATTTTGTTCTACTGCCAGACCAGGTCAATGATTTGTAGGTAAAAGCTAAAGGAACTGTTCTGAATCATCCAGGTTTTAATTATGAGTGTTTTCACAGCTTGTGGGAGCCATGCTGTCTTACTGTATTTTAACAAAAACAATCAGGAAATGCTTTTACAGGAAGCATTGAAATGAAATTTTAGTTCCAATGTCAGTCTTTGACTGAGTGCTTAGTACAACTTTGAGTGTAATCTAAGGTCAGAAACTGAAAATTGCTGGTTTTAGTGATGAGTAAGTGTCTTTCTTTCCTTTTCATATTAGATAGAAAATGGTCGGCCGTGGAACTCTATTGTGAAGACCTCAGAAGAAATATCAATTTTTCCAGTCAGCTTTTCATAATGTAAATATAATTTGAGCTTTCCCAAATGGGCAGCTAAACCATGAACAAGCAGAAAAACCTAATTTGGACTGTATTTCTGAAGCAGACTTCACCTTCTCTCTCGGGAACTTATTGAAGGATTACAGCTGAAAAGGACAAGAGAAAGAAAACCTTGAACAGGAATCCTATCCTACAATGAGAATTACAAGTACATCTTGTATCTGCCCAGTCCTAGTTTGTCTCTGTTTTGTACAGAGGTGTTATGGAGCTGCTCACCATGGCTCCATCAAGGTGACCAGAAACCAAACCAAACACATAGAAGGCGAAACAGAAGTGCATCATCGTCCAAAGCGTGGATGGGTGTGGAATCAGTTCTTTGTTTTAGAAGAACACATGGGACCAGATCCTCAGTATGTAGGAAAGGTAAGGTGGTTGTTCTCTTTTGGCTTTGGTTTGTTTTTTTCCATTCCTAGAAATGTGGCACCGATAAGAGGCAGATCATTTATGTCCTTAGATGGCACCTCTTCTTTTAAGGGAAGACAGCTCTTGGATTGCTACATAGATTTACAGTGAACTTGCCAGTTGCCTGTGAATACTTTGTTTATTATCAAAAGGATAAATAAAAGTATATAGGATGAAGAATCTAAAATATGATAAAATAGTTTTTATTCTGAGCTTAGCTAAACAGAGTGTGTGCAGTTGATCCTGTTACATCAATTTCCAGAATCCTAAATGCATGGGGTCACTGCTAATGGCTTTTCCAGACTATTTCAGAAGTATTTTCAGTTATGCTTCAGGGAACATGGCAAATGCAGTCTAAGCTCCAGAAGGTATTCATTCCACTCTGAGTGTAGGGTGGAAAAGGTCTCCAAAAAGAAATCCCCTGTGGCTTTTTTCATACTAGGAGATACAAGGTGTGTCACTTCTTAGAGTTCCTCAAAAGTCTGTAAGAACAAGCTCTGCATTTATATTCTGATATATAGAGTGAGCTTCAGACATAATGTTCGGACTATGTAATTCAATGTAACTGAACTGAAGCCTGAGCAGCTGAAGTCTGATTCATCAAATGTAATGTTGTCTGTAGAGCTTGGGTTTTAACTTGCATTAAATAACACACAACTCTCTATATGACTTTAACCCATGATATATGACAGAGGAAGTTTTGCTCTCCTTGAAGACTGTCTTGCTGCATTATGATAGAATTTTTTTATTAGACAATCTACATGAGTCTTAATGAAATCAGTGAAATACATAGAATATGAGGGGTAAAATAAGATGGTTAATGGGGAAGAGGGCATGGAAAAAAAAATTCATTTTAGTTTCCCTTGAAATTAGAATTCTGAAACTTATATTGTAGAAAGTGATGCAAGGGAACCAGTAGCCTCTGAAATCACACATGTCTGGTAGTGAGGGCTTCCAAATTTGAACAGTATCTTCTGAACTAAAAATAGGAAGTGGAACAACTTTATTTAAGAGACTGTTAACTCAAAGGCTGAAAAAAATGTTCTGTTATACCAAACTTTGTAAAATATTAAGTATTTCAGAATGCCAAAAATTATTGAGCTATGTGAAGAAAATGTAAACTGAGAAAGGACCTTTCTAAATGGAGATAATTATTTGCATTGAAAAAGAAGCTTTTAAAAGGGGTAAGGGGATGAGGAGATATGCCTTCAGACAGCTTTACACTGATTAACACTTTCATAAATTATTTTGGAATAGAAAAAAAATTTGCAAAAATATTGTTGATGCAAAGCTTTGCAGAAGAATGAAAACATTGTCTGGAAAGAGCTAGATATTATGAATATGGTTTGGATATAGAAATAAAGAGTAAAGCTTGGGAATAGAGAACAACATAATGAATTTCTGTTATACACTAATGATTTACTGTAATTGAGAGAGGAAGAGAAAGAGCTGGTGAATGAGAAAGAGAAGGTGAATGTAATATTAAGCTGCAAAAACTGATATATAGGAAAAAAGGGATAAAGGGCACTGAAGACATTGTGGAAAATAATGTTGACCTATTTGCTATTCTGGTTACTTTTAGCCAAGAAAAATGATTTATATGTGAAGCTGTACAGAAAAAATTGAACATTATGGCTGGGATAGTAATGGAGAACAAAATATGTTTGTTTAATTATTTCCATAAATAATAGAAGTGGGCACATGATAGTCTATAAATATGCCTCCGAATAAACCACAATGAAAAATGAAAGCTATTTAGGTTGATTACAATTTTACTTGAAAAAATAAGGTTTTGGTGGCTGTGAGTTAATTTAGAATTCACGTTTAGTAAATTTAGAATGAAAACAAGAATAGTCAGATTCTGAAAGAGGTTACTAACAGGAAAAGAAAAAAAATAAAAGCTGAAGGTGTTTCAAAGTACAGCATATTTGTCTTTATGAAAGCATTTATAGACATGATTGCATGCCAGAACAGAAGCCTGGATTCAGTGAGCTAAAGCATGGTCCCTTTCAATTTTTGTTCTTATGAAGCTATTATATATTTCCTTTCATCCGCTGACCACTCCATTAATGCCACATTTACAGAGATCAATGAGTAGAATTTCTTTCAATCCTTTGTGGTCAAAATGTGACTGCATGCCTTGTTTGAGAACATTTCTCCCTCTATACTTACCAGTTTTTCTCCCATTTTCCTCAAATAATTCCCTCTGGTGCTCATAATTTTCTACTGTGAGTACTTCACAACATTAGTAAGCTTGTCTTTGCAAAAGCTTTGTGGAACTTGAAAGCAACTGTACTCTATTTTTCATTTGGTTTGATTATTCTGATGATCTGATATGAAGAAAAGATCAATTATATTAGCTCAGGCATATACTTTCAATTAAAAAGAAAAAAAAAAAAAAAAAGAAAAAGGGGGGGGTGTGAAAGCCTGAACTGAGACTGCCATAATATCAATAGTTACCAAAATTTCAGTAGTGGTCATTTAACACAAAAAACCAGACATTTTAGAAAAATATATTTTTTACTAATTTTGCATTAAATTGTACACACCTCATCAAGGTCTCATTTTACATGCCTTTAATTTGACAAGTAATTTTCACACAAAGCCCCTCAGTTATAAAGGAAGTCAGTGCTCCTCAATTCCAGATTTCTGTTGGGTGGTAGCATGCTGTCAATTCTGTCAATTATTAATTCTGTAGACTACTCCGCTTCACCGGTGACAGTTCTTCCATTTCAGATCTGTCCTTTCACATATTTCACACCCAATTTGGGAGTAACATCACAGAAAGCAGAGTCATTATGTACAATGGTGTTATAATGCTCACAGTCATTGTCATGGAAATGCACAGTGAGAACAAGAATAAGGTAGGCCAGCAGCAATGAAAATGGTAAGATTTCTCATTCTTACTGTGAAATGACTGTCAAGAGGATGGATTAATTCACTGCCATCATCATAAAAACAGTGTTAGGACAACAAATTATCATGATACTTTAATATCAAACATCCCCCCATTCCTCAGTCATTTTTCCTTTTCTCCGAGAAAATGTTATTTGGAGAATTCTGTATAGAATTAATCCCTATTAACCATACTCACCAGGTTTTTCTAGCAACATGGTGAGACACAGGTCCTGGTAAGATTAGCTTATTGTAGAAATGGAAAATGGTCCTTCTGTAGATACTGTCTGAGGTTCTCAGATTATTGAGCTGGTTCCCTGCTGTTGCACATGGGGTAAGTCTGCAGTGTTTCAAAGTATGTTCACTGATGAAAGAACCAAAAAAAAATAGTTTTGTATTTAAAAAGGTATCTTTAAAGTGTTTAAAACCACAGTGACTTCTTTTACCAAAATTTTTAATTATTTGTGGATGGTTTCTGGAAAACTTCTGAATGATCATGGTATCTGGAAGTGTTAGTTCAGAGAGACTATTCACCTGCAGGTGAAAGTGTGTGTGTGTGTGTGGGTGGGTGTGTTTGCAATGCAGAATCTGTGGAAATTTGAGTAAGGAAGATAAAATATCATTGCCTCGGATAAGTAACTTGAATGCACAGGCTGAGCTTTCAGTTATATGAGACTTCTTGTCTTTTGTGTGTCACTGATGTAAATTTCAAATGAAATTATAGCCATGAGTGCAGAAAGGGGCAAGGTTAGTGAATGCACTGGGGTCTGATGATGAGTCAGGTACCTACTGCACCAGATCAGAGGAATGAAGATTTTCCTGGAGAAATCTAGAAAAATTTATAGTACTGCAAGCTTTTACATCTCTCATTTGTCTTAGCTGATATAGTTTACATTTCTCTTGCATTTTCTGCATGTTTCTAGGTTAGATAACTCATGTCTCAACATTTGGAAAAAATAGTAAAAAAATAATTTTAGGAAATAAATGAAGAAGACTATGTGTTTCTGTCCATAACATTCTTCATTTTGAACCTTCACACCTCTGTCTCCAGAGGGTCTGCTCCTTCTTAAAAGGATATCTCTAAAAATCAGTTGTACTGGATGCAAGTCATAACCACACATTTGCTGTGCTTTTTCTTTGGAGAGGGAAGTAAATAAGCAGTGATAAAATGAAGGTCACTGTGGATTTGGAGCTGAGTGAGTCATGCTATTAGGACTGAATAGCAGAGGAATATGATGCACAAGACTGAAAATTTATCTGTGAACCCTCTGGATCTCTGAAATACCAAACCACCACCTCTTAATCCACTTCAGATGACTTCTGAAGAGTAAATAAGAATGACTGTTCAGGAATTCACATCTGCATTGGTTTTCAAGTGTTTTTTTCTTCCCTAGTTTGGGGGATGACACTTCACTTAGTTCTTACATGTTTACCTGTAATGCAAAAACAGTTTCAGATTAATATTGATAGAAAGAAGTATGGAACAGTTGGAAATGAGTGTGAATATAGGAAAGGGGAGAAGAAAATAACAATTTTTAATGTGTCTTGAAATGTTTCTACTGAAAGTTAGATTAGGAAAGGAATTCCAGGTGTTATATTGGATTTACAAGATAGCAATTCTTTTAATTAATAATTTTATTCTTGAAAACATAAATTCAGCATAACAGACTTGTCATTCAAAATTATTTTTTCAAAGTAATATGTGATGTGTTATTGCAATAAGTTGGTTCTGATACAAGACAGTGAATCTAATCTTCCCTGATTAGATCAAGAGATTTTCCCATCTCTGATTTAATGACAGTAAGGGGGCATCATGTATGTTTTAGAATAAGTGCCAAGAAAAAAATAAAATTGGAGTTTAACAATTAAAACATTTTTATTCCATTTTAGAGGTTTACATAAAAGAAATATATGAGATGCTCCAACATTTTTAGCACAAGCACATAGTTCCAAAATTTATTTTGATAAAAAGGACATTTATTTTATAGTAGAGAAAATTGAGAGGTTATTTTGGATGACATAGTCTAAATATATGCACATGATTTTTTAGCCATTTTCATGCCTCT